TGGTGGTGATTATTTATTTCCCTCTTGCCATCCTCCATTGTGCAAGATTGCTTATAGCTCAAAATACAGAGGGTGCTGCGTTCTGAGTCACGGCTGATCAGCACTCCGCAAAATGAGACTTTTAAACAACTCGCCTATTGTATCCAACGGTTCCTGTCACGTTCTCTTACAGGAAAAAAATCCCATTGGTGAATAGGCCATGAAGTAGCCTAAAGCAAAACCCTGTCCCTAGATTCTCCCAACTTTTAACATTTGCCTGCTAACTTTCTCCAAGGCAGACCACACACTCAACCTCAGCCTCATGAATTTAGATATAATTTCTAAGCGYTGGGGCCGTACCTGTTGGCCTAAAAGGTAATGGCAGGCACAATACAATCCACCCTGTGTTTTCAAGAACGCCAAGGACACAGAGTGACTCAGTAGCATACAAACACTAAGTCCAAAATTCCCCCAAATAAAACCTGGGACAGCTAATACAATTACATATGCAAACTACCTAACTCTAAATGCAGCACATGGGAGAGACTCCACCACATGATGGCTTTGCAACACCAGCACATCCAGTTTAAGGAGCCTCTTAGAGTTTTTGCCTCTTCTGGCTTTGTATCACAGTTTTGGAAATAGCATTCTTCTGATGTGAAAAAGAAAACATTGAAACTACGATCTTCAAATAAATATAAGTCTGAGCTCAGTATTTTTGTTTACCAGAAGATTCACATAGCACCTTATCATCCCAACTACAAATAATTTTATCCATGGAAAACTTAATTGATTCTCATTTTGAACGTCCTTTGGCACCACCATGCATTACCTCTACTTTTTTCATAGTGTGTCAAACTCATGTTACATGTTATATAGCTACAGTTAGATGGTCTTCATCTGTGCCAGGGTTTAGCTCAAGAATAAAATAAGAGGAAAAAAAAAAAAGTTTGTGCTTTACTTTTCTAATGATACCTTGTTCTGTAATTACTAAAAGCATCACAGTGCTTAGACAGATGCTGACATATGGAAAATATAGTCCTTGAAAGTGTTGGTTTCATCATATTTTACAAATTAATACCTTAGGTCATGTTAATCAGTTTCTGATATATGTAGTTTTCAAAATGCACTTCAGGGAAGAAAATGCTGGAAATGACTAATAACAACAAAGAGATGAACTTTATTCATTKTATATCTAAATCTACATCTCCACATTACCGAAGTACTTTGCCATCTTAACTATTTAGGAAGCCTTAAACAAAAAAATAAATCTTTATCATTCAGTGAAACAGAGCATTCTCTTTTCTTTCCGAGCAAAAGAGTTCAAATTTATTAATTTTGTAGCTATATTTTAAAATGAGTGTCAGCCCCTGCTAGACRACTGCATGATAAGTGTCCTGAAACTTCAGGAAAAGGCACTAAATTTTTCACAGCATTTGTGTTTCATTTTCAGTGTAATAAAAATATGGTGCCCTTTTAATAATGAATAATAGATCTCCTAGTATGATTTACATATGTGGATTAAATGTCATGTTTGAAAAGTTGCTGTTTTATTCATATTGAATTTCCCTCAAGTAAAACAAAATGCTGCCTAGCTACTGTTATAATATTGCTAGTACCTTGCCACACTGATACATAAATAYGAACGGATTGATATACTCTTTTAAAATCTGAAGATCAGTGACTTGTTCTGTCAGCAAGTGCAGCTGTATATGCATATGAACAGATTTAGTGCACCAGGTACATTGGGGTATATCTGTAAGTCCAGTGCTGACTTCTAGAACTCAGAATGATTTTGCCAAAATACCAACTTTGGAAGGGTGGCACAGAGCAAGGATCACTGGCTGAGTGGGCACTGCACGAGAGAAGAGAAAGCTTAGGGAGCCTGTTACCAGCACAGTTGTTTCTCCTATTTTATGGACACATCTCTCTTCAGCAGTACTGCAGTGACATCCCCAGTGACTAGCTGCTTAAYGAACTTATTTCCCATGTCACTTGGAAGCAGCTACATCGCATTACAGCCCTATGCAGGATAACTGAAAGTTTCCTATCTGAATTTTCCCTTTTGAACAAATTTGTTTTCCCATCAGGCAGTGATTTCATGGAAAGCTTTCCAGAAATTAATTTTATTTTTAAAAGTTACAAATGCTTTAAATAGGAATGCTTTCCTTAGAAATCATTTTTCTTTGTAGAAGACACTAGAAAACTAGATCTGAAATCAGCTTTGTCCTGCTAACTGAAATTTTGCTAGTTTTCTTTAAAGAGAAACAATTTAGTCACATGCCAATTATTCTACTACTGAAGCCAATTAATCTTTTAATTCTGAAAACTGCATTATTTATTCTGTTATAATTTCTTCATACAACTATTTAAAATTCTTTATTGAAGTAACCCAAGAAAATGCAGAAGGAGGAAAAGTGAAATATTTTTGGTGTTGAATAAAATTAGACATTTGAATATTGCAACTTYTCTTTTGTGCTGTCTAGATCATCATTAGATGAAAAATGTAATCTGCATTTGTGTAATCTAAATTTGCTTACACTCCAGCAATGCTGGGACACAAATCCTAAGGGACAGTAAATCACTGTTATAAATATACTATGAATGAAAATGCCCACCAACTAATTAGGTCTTATCCATACTATGACTTCAGCTGTCATGAACCAGCAACAAAAACTTGTACTAGTAAAATCATTAGTCTTGTGTAAAGATGAGGCAATTTCCCCTAGGTAGACATTCTAACCGCATCAGCTGTCTCTACTAGGAAAGCAGTAAGCATGACTCCTGTCCTCTTCTCACTTTCACTGCAGACCTGGCAAAAATGAGGCAGTGCAAAAGCATATTGAAATTTTAAGAATAAAGTTTCCTTACCCCAATGCGTTTAATCATCTACTGCAGTTGCCAAATCTCAGATTGAGTTCAAGTTATTTTCTGCTAGAATGCAGGTAAAGCTTCAAAATAGCTCTTGCTTCATCTAAGACAGACAGCTCAACTGTGGTATTAATGCATTAAAAATCTAAAATCCCCTCTTTCATAAATWAAAGGTATGAAAGCTTCCTTAAAACTTGGGAGTCAAAAATAAGTCCCCTTCAGATCACATTTTTAGGTGTTATACCTAAGATGGTAGAGAGGAAYTCAAAGCAATAATTGTATTTTATCCCTAACTAAAGCATTCGTGCACCTTTTGTCTAGCATAATTTAAAGGGGAAAAAAAGAGATTTATATGACTTTCTGACCTTACTGAAAGCCAAATAAAATTCAATGGAGCTATTAGGAACCACTGTCTAATATGTAGTCAGAGGTTACTGGGGGAGRGAGGGTGACAAACTAAAAAGGAGGACAGTGAAGGAGGGGAAAGAACTGAAGCTGGCAAGCTGAAGCAAAGAACATTGATTAATGAACAAAAAACATTTTTGAAAGGTCGGGTGTGCGAGTCAGACTAGCCCTGAGGCAGATCTAACTTACATGACCAGCACTTTCTGTACACAGCAGGTAACCCATGCTGACACCAACTTTGCCAACATGACAGGGTTATTATTTTTGGAAGGATGTAGTGTTCTGGAACAATTTCTCTAATATATTAGTTAAAACTAAGCTTTCATTCAATATCAAGCATGCACGTCTTCCCTTTCACCATGTTTACATTGAACTCCTACCATTATTGTGGCCAATGAAAACAAAAGCTTATTCTTCATGTGTGAGCACTTGTATTTCCCTTCTGTAATATAAYCCAGGGCAGCAGTGCTCTATATACAATTGTATTCTAAACCCAGATGCCCATCTGAAGCTCAATATTAAGATTTAAATACTTTTACTGAATTTTGTAGTACAGGTTTATTATCTAAAGCTTTAAATTGGCCTCCTCTCAGCACAGAGCGTTTCTTCTGAACCATAACTTAGAGTGTGCAGCAATACCAAGAAGGAAGACCATTAAGGCAGGAGCACTCAGAGTACACCATCTGTATCTTCAGAATGAGCTARCGGAGGAGGTTCTCTAAAATTCTGTCACTAGGCTTTTCTTGTCCGCTACACAGGAATGAAGACAGAGGAATCAATAAAGGAATCGTGTCATCCAGCTTCTCCTGATCCTACATTTTAATTGGACTTCCACAAGATCTGCAGTCTCATTAACTAGATTAAAACTGAAATGCAGTAACGACACTAATTGTCATCTGTAAGATTTGAAAATAATTTAATAGCAAACTCCAGGAAAGTGCTAAAACTCCCAAATACTTATCTCAGTCWCTTGGATGAAGCATAGTAACCATGTCTAAGCAGTTATTGAGATAGCTGTACCACTTGGCAGAGAAACCAAAAAGTTTGCAAACAGTTTGCACTTTCGCCAAATTTATATGTGGAGCTCCCATGTATTGAGGTGCAGTTAGAAGATTTTTACTAGCTGTTGCCTAATGCTGAGAGCAGGGTYATGTAGTTTCAAATGGAGGACATTCCCCAGGTGGAAGCACTAGCAATGGTCAAGACAAAGCAAAAACAAGAGGCCACAGTGGCTTCCAGAGTCACTCAGTCCCAGCAGCCAGAGTTTTCTCCTTTCAGTAAAGCCTAACAAGAAAGTACTTTCCTGCCTTCATTGCAATGAGCGAGACATACACATCCCATTAGGGAGGAACCTTAATTCACTATCAGTGATTTCCCTTTTAATAAGAAAGGACTTCTCTTCAACCCAACCCAAACTAAGGGACTGCTAAAGGTCGGTCTCTCCCAGACAGAGGTGCCTGGGAAAAGYGGCAAAATCTTTTCCCATCCTGTGCGGGGCCCAGAGAAGGCTTCCTGAGACACACTGCAAGGCTTTGCACTCAGGCAGCAGCAGGAACTTCATGGTGCTCAGAAATCCACAGCATGGAAAATCCTTTTCCACAGCACTAAACTGACAGAATCTTCTCCACGAAAAGGAATAGTACAGCTATTCCTCTACAGKAGAGTAGAAGCTATGTTATTTAACAGTCCCCATGCTTTCAATGTAATCATAGAGCCTGCCTTTCTAAGTGTCTTTTTAAGACACTTTACCTACTAAGAYAGTTTCGCTCATAGGGAAACTTTAACATCAGCACACAAAATCCCTCTTCTAGCACCTCAGAACCCAACTTAAGACAAAGAAGATTAAAAACAAAAAAAGTTTTTAACAGATATTTCTTCAGTTCCAGCACAGGTGTTTAAGGATTTACAGGGGGCAGGGCAAAAATATACAAACTTAACCCCTGCCCCAAACACTTCCTTCTAGCAGCTACCATCTCCCAGCTCAGAACTACAGCTGCCAAAGCTTTCTCTGACAGATACACACTTGTTTTAACACCATAGGAGATTCACATTCACAATTTTCCTCTTTGTATATGTGATCTTTTACATATCAACAGCGCCTATTACAAGAAAACTGTTCATTACCTATTATAGATAATAAAAAATAAGCAACAGAAAATGTGATTTAGCAGCAGCATATATATCACAAACCCAATAGCGGAAATGGCCTGTTCAAATGTAACTCAAAGCATCAATACCACAAGTGTTCCAAATAAATTGCCTTATTTGGAAACACTTTGGGATCAGGAGTGTCTTTTTGTTCTAAATCTATGCAACAGCTATCACAATAGCAAGGGTGGTGGAGCAAATTCTCAAGGCCATAGTGCAGAATAAGTAATGAGTGAAAACAGAAAAAAATGCCCTCCCTATTCTACCTCCCTATTATACCTCATAACAAAAAAAAATACAGTTAGAGAAATCACAGTAATTTTTCAAGCCATAAGGCAGAATGCATGTGCCAGAGAGTGTATCTGACACCAATGCTTCAACCAGCACTAGGCATTAGCTACAACAGCGAGCAACTGATGCACAGCAATCCTGCCACGCACAGCATGCTTAGGCAGGAAAATATGTGCGCCTCGGTCGCAAAAGACAGAATAGAGCCTCAAGTGTTTGGGCTCCTTCCAAAATAATCCAAATGCTGCTTTTTCGGCAAATGGAGGGGGGGATGTCAATGGAGCTAAAAACTCACAGAAGGATTTGGGCATTCATGTGTTTATATACACCCACTCGTTCATTTATTATTCTAAAGCTACTTTACCAAAATCAAATTACATAGCTGACAAGCTGCATAGATAAGAGAGAATAAAAGTAAAATTTAAAATTAGCTGACAACACTACATGATGTAGTGTATATTTGGCACTTTTAGAGTGAATGATGAGGGTTAACCTAGGGGAAAAAAAATTGCACCTTCCTAAATTGCACCTTAAATTATTAAATAAATTATGAACATGATGGAATGCATTAAATATATAAGCCTGAAGGAGAAAGAGCGGATGTGTTTTAACTTTCAAAGCAAAGACAGCATATTTAAGAAGTGTTGCTTACTGTTTGGATACTTTGTCCAAAGTAGATTTCAGTGTTGTAGAAGTTTCCACCATGACTAACAGGCAGCGTTGTTCTGGCCCAGGGCTGTTCCTTTAGTCCGGGCCATTGCAGTAGGCCACCACCTAAGCGGCTGAGAACAGAAACTCTGAGGAAATAGTAGCCTTTGGGCACCTTATCTTTGACTCCCCTCAGGCATTTGACATTAATTTCTATTGCCTGTGGTGTCTCAAACTCGGCAACCTAGGGAGAAAGCTCCAAGTTACTGATTTGGGTTGAGTTGACTCTAACCATACAATTAATCAGAACAAATTTCATAAGAAAACAACTACTAAAAAGTAGAAAACATGCTTCTTGTTCAACCTATTGTTACCTATTGTTAGCTGAGGCTCTGCAATCAGAGAGGTCAAAAGTCACAGAGATGACAGATCATCACAACAACAATAATAATAAATGTTTAGCATTCTTGGCAGGAGGGTGGAGTTGTTGAAATGTGAAACCAGGAACCATTTGTCTGCAATAATAAGGCAGAATTCACAGGAAAATTCCACTTTCAAAAATATAGTTTGCACACTTTGTAAGGCAGGCACAAGAGGCGATGTGATGAGCAGGCTGCAGGCACATAATGAGAGACAGGGCAGACCGTGTTTTTATACTAATTATTAGTCTTGCCAAGGCTATTAGTGCTGTGTAATATGCAGACTATCCTTTCACCTTCTGATTATCATATAATCAGATTCTCTTAAAAATAGTAATCAAAGTGCAACACGTGTAGAGTTTAATAACAACTCCCTACAGGCACCTTTATTCCAAGTCCAGACAAAAGGAAACATCTGCTGCTTGCTGTTGACAAGATGTTGTCTGAGTTACAAAATGTTTAGTATGGAATAAATGTTGTGATGTGCATCTGAAATGCCATTTTGGTGCTTTTCTTCTACACTCAGCTTATAGTGTGGAGGTTGGCAGAGGGGAACCAACACAGCAGTATGATTACTACTAGAAGTCTTTCCTGAGTAAAGACATAGAATCCATTTGAAAATGCCTGCAAATACTCAGTGTTACCCAAATACATCCTGTAGGGTCAGGACTCCCAGTTTGGTTCCGGTGTTGACTTAAAAGGAAAAAATAGCTTCTGCAATAATTAAATATTGAGGGTTTCAGATCAGCTATGATTTTTTCCCCAAAATGAATCAATTTCTTCTATTTTTTTTTCACAAAACACTACTGCATGCCATTCTTCAGAATCAAATGGCTACCTTGACTACCAGGTTTAGTAGTCTCACAGTTTAAGCCTACAGTAGCTAATAATCTCTTCTTTAATCCTGTCTTGGATTTATTTTGGAAGAGATWGCATATTTCCATATAGATAGAAAGCTTCTGGAATTAAATTAAGCAGTTAATATAACAGTTGAATTTGTGAAACTTCTTTTGTTTTTCAACACAAACCATACTTAACAGCTAATCTGAATAACAATTATTTTCAGCTTAATTAGAAAATCTTAATTAACAATGAAGATTTAACCTTAATATTTTTGGTTTCTGAATCATATATAAAAAAATTAACATTATGTGAATAAATAAGACAATCTTTTTAAACCTCAAGGCAGGATTACTGATGCAGGCAGACTTCGTTATTAAACACATTCTAAATTAAACGCCTCTATGAATTTTATACTGAAATATATTGTGATAGTTTTGCATGCCAAATGTGACATTTTGTATTTTAGATTCATCTTCTGTAGTAATTTTGGAAATGTCATACAAACAAAGATTTTGTCATTTACCAATGGAATTACTATGCATGGCCGGTTAGCCATCTCTTTTCTGGCTCTTCTGGTTGTTTCAAGTCAGCAAGCCATAAAAAATCTTTATCTCTCTGAAACACAGCAATTTGGAAGATAATCGAATAGTGACTGGGGGGCAGAAACGCCAGTCTGAGGAATTATACCACAATCTCTCTTGCATTTACAACCTTCCTCAAAGCGAGTGTCAGTCGAGTAGGAAAAGGAGATAGAAGATTCATCATATTTCAAGCCTGTCTCATTTGCATGGTGGCATAGTTGTCTCATCCCCTACTGAAAGACTTTGCTTGGCCAGCACTGACAACTCTTTTGAAGAACTCTAGCCATGCCCAGATGATTCATCATTAATAGCTTTAGACATTCTCTTTAAGCATATTGTTACTGCTACTTGAAAGGATATTTTCAAACCGTCAAATTGTATTGTCTTAAGTATGAAAAGAAAGAAAGAAAGAAACAGTAGTGCAATAGAATTGATCTGGTCATTTAGCAGCTTGTGTCAAGGAAAAGAGCATTCATGGGGAGMCTCACCTTCCCACAACATCCCGCTGCTCCATTTAATTCATTATTCACATCTGCAAGGTTACCAAACTTGGCCATGATTTCTTCTTTGCACCCGCTCACATCTGCTTTTAGTGGTTGACTTTCTACTCTGCAGTAGTTACAAAGGGAACAGGGAAGAAGAAATGAAGCGAAATGGACTACAACACAGACATGAAAAGCACTTGCTATTGGAACTACATCACAGTTTGATGTTTTCCTTGAATATATCATAGAGCTCGCAGGGGACCTGGGAGAAACAACAATGTTCTAAGTAGAAAAATGGCTAGTCTTCAAAAAGTGGCATAGGAAAAATGCAGTCACAGTTTCAAGAACATGACTGCTATTTGTCAGTCTATTTACAAACTGACATAAAATAACCTAAAGTTTCACTGCCTAAGAATAAGGAACTCTGTCTTTCCAAGACAGGTATCAGGGCTCAGGTTCTAGAAAAACAATAAAAAAGTAGGAAGCCATTGCCCCTATCCACACTTTCAGGACAGGACTTTCAGCTGTGATAAACTGGAACAGATTTTAGAAACCACTGGCTCCTAAAGTTGCGTTGCTTTAAACCACTGAAAAAACGTTATGTCCATATATTTAAATATATACCCATCTACTTGCACGCACACCTTTTTCAGCTATATGTGAACCATTGAACCTTCCTTACCATTCACATATTAACTTTTTGTACAATTTAAAGAATATTTTTAGTAATTAAATCAGCTTGCTGTTTATATGTTTGTTTGTATATTTAAACAGGGGTCCCCGAACCAAAACCTAAGTTAGTGAATGGTTTAAGAACAGACTTAAGAGGATACCCAGTGCTGCCCTATTGGGAGGATGCACCAGAGGCACTGCATGTTGTGGCACTGCATTACTTCCTCCTATTGTAGAGCAAGAGCAAATACAGAACTAAGTCATTAACAATAAACACTATATGAAAGGTATGTTTTGACAATCTGGTCCCACTCTTAAAATTTATTTAAAATAAATAAATGAATTTAAAACTTTATTTCAGTAAATAGAAATGTATTTCAGTAAGATTACCACTGTTGTATAGCTAAACCAGTTTCTGAATTCCTGTATCTGTAGAATTTAATCACGTAATTGTAGAGGCAATAATTAAATCAATTAGAAGTTCTGTGTAGGCATTAGTCCTAGTGACACAAATGGGATATTAGTTCAGATGAGGACTGATAGCACTACAGACAGGATTCAGTAATGCTATGGACTCAACACAAGCACTGCAGCATCTACCTTTACTGTTTTATGCTTGAGCTGATTCCAGTCAACTTTGGTTGAGCTTCCCTAACTTGAAGGATACAAAAGAAACTTCTTGAATGTCACTTACTAATTCTGAGAGATGAAACATCTGAGAAGTTAACTTTTCTCCTCAAAAAGAATGGCCTGTTTGGAACCTTGTGCTTATTTAGTTTCTCTTGATGGAAATTATTTCACTTAATTTAGTTGGAGCTACATTGACACAGGGGTTCATTAGGACACCCATTTGCTTGCAATTCAATTTAAAATTAAATACACTTTGTTGTTGATTTTATTACTTTTAAACTACTGTATCTATTGCCTTTATTAGCTGCTAATACACAATTATGAAGGTAAACAGTTTTCATTACTGAACATCAAACATTTAAATAACCACATTTGATCTCTTTTCGGGTTTCCCTATTTTTCTCTTTCCTCTCCTTTTGTTGGATATTAGACTGGAGCTAGTAATTTACTTAGTGCGGTTGGGTCTCTTCTGTGCTCACCAGCATGTTCATCATCTGTTAAAGCAGAACAGAGCCTCCTCAACTGTGTCTGTGAGAGATGTGTCCTCCATTGATTTCTCTACAAGTAATCTGATGCACGTATTTATCTGAAGGTCATGAATAGCCTGAACCACAGAAACATTGCTCTGATTCATATTGCCTTCACTAAGAATCCTTCAGGCCAGGCATGAAGGGTGCTGAGAGAAGCCATTTGGTCACCTTTTGAGGTGTACTGTGTGTAGCACTTAAAAATGACAGCCCAAACTGAGTATCTAAAAACGGAAGAATCAAAACAAAGGCTTCTTTCAAAAGTACAGGCTTCATTTTTCTAGGCCTGAGGTCCTTTGTTTYGAAGAAGCTCCATTCATTAATACCTGTAAAGCACTGAAAGATCTCTGCAAGGAAAGCCCATTGGATAGAAGTACAAAATAGCCCTTATCTCACATACCTTTGAAAGAGCTTATGAATCCTGGATTGCAGCTTGTTTTTGTTGTGGCAAGACACTTCCTTGCTGTTCTTAGAGTCCTATATGCCCAAAAAGAAAACACAACAATAAAAAATATCAGTTTTGTTTTCAAAGATACACATAGGCAGTAAAAAGCTACAGTTTTCAAGAGTTTTTTTTAGATCTTTGAACTGAACTTTTTTCAGAAACAATTATGAATTACAGCCACCCAGTCTCTGTTATATTCAAGGGAAGCTTCTTATCAAAAAGATTGATCTATATATTGTGTATTTGCGTATGGTGGTACCTCAGTCTATTTACAAACTTTAACAACATTCTTCTCCTTGACCTCTGTTAAGAGATGTCATGAAATAATCAAGAGTATTGCCCATGCCCAGATCTTTTGCTAGCATCCCCGATACCAGCATAAATTGTCCATCTACCACTGCCAACATACGCAAAGCCTTCCTGCTGTGTAACCCAAACCATATTGTAAATGGTGTAAGATGATTTTCATCTTCTGCCCTCACCAAGTCTCAAAAYTGAAAAATGCTTTGGTAGGGAAACAATGTAATAGTCTGCAGAGAAAAATTTCCTGTTGGCACACCTAAATGTGGCTGCTGAAGTCTCTCCCTTCTTGTACATCTCTAAACTTTTAGGTAAATGTCTGCCTGGCTTTAAGGGAGCTTAGGAATCTCTGGTGAAGAGTAACACAGCAAATTAATTACTTGCAGAAAAGACTGCCATTGCCAAGATGAAAATTCTTAGAGTATAAAAGCTGACCACAGAAAGCATATTACAAAAGCTTTTGTTAGAAGAATTAGCTTTTAATTTAAATACTATAGAATTAAAATAGGCACACCATGGTTACCTTAAAATATATTATGCCTTGCTTTTTGTCCCCACAGAGCGCCTCAGATACATTAAGTCCTACAGGTCCCACTCAACATTGCACATTCACTATTACAAAGGTAATAAGGTTAAAAAGGCTCAAACGAAGACCTAGCCAAAAGCCAGCACTGGTTTTCTTTCTTTTGAAGGCCCTTATGCCATTTCCCAAGCATGCAAGCAGGGAGCAAGGAATGTCATGAGGAAGGATGGGGTTCTCCTGTCCCAGCAGCGCTGCAGGGAGGTGCTCGCAGCAGGACAGGGTGGCCCCGTCAGACAGCATGGGCTAGAAACATTCTCGATAGACATTTGAACTCCATTGTCAGAGCTGCCTTCGACAGCAATTCTTGTGAGGTAAGCACTTAAACTAAGAAATATAAATATCTTGCAAAATATCAAGTAGCCGTAAGATTGTGACATCTTTCAGACATTGCCAGTCCAGGCTTACACTGAGTCAGAAGTAGAGATTTAAAATGAAAGAGAGAGAGATTACATTACCAGATTCCCATAGTTGTCCAATCCTCTTGTTTATCTTCCTAATCTTAATTAAATAAGGAATATTCAGAAGAAAATATGAACTGGGGTTCCTTATATAAATTGCACTGTGTTTTCCATCTCTCTGTCTCTGAAGTAGCAATGGGAATATGAGTTAAAACTATTTTTTTCTGTATCTTAGCAAAGATATTTCTCACAGTGTGTCATGATAATTCTTTAAAAGCTTTATCATCTACCTAATAAATTTGTTAAGTTTATTCAAATCTTATTGAGCAGGAAAAGYGCAATGAGTCATGCTTAATATTTCTTTACCTACACTAAGAAATAAAATATATCAAAAATTCAGTGCTTAGGGTCCTATTCAGAAAACCACTATGAGTCTGTAATACATCTTCTACATGATTAAAAAAGCAGGAAACTTGCTTTAAAATGAATTATTCACCACATTGAATAAATTTCCATCTTTCCTATTTKCAAAACCCCAAAGTCAGTTATGTAAATTTTAACCTACACTAATTACCTCAGGGGTGTGCAAGCTAAAGGAAAGTAGATGCAGTAGGAAAAAAAATCCCAGACATTTCCATCACCAGGAAGCAATTTAATAGAGAAAAAAAAAAGTGTAARTTTTCAAAAACAGTGCAATCCATATAGTTCCTATTTTTTCTATTTTTTTTAAACAGGGAGTAATCATTGCTGCAGTACCCTTAGAGATTTACTGGACTATACCCAAGCACTTTTTCTCAATGGCATATAGCATCACACACATAGCTGAGTGCTCACGGCGACATTGCCATTGTCTAGACTGTGGAACAACGGATTGTGAACAATGGGTATTCCCAAGAAGATGCAGTTTAGCTGCAAATYGATACGGCACTGAGACCACCTCCCTCCCCCACCCCAGAAAAMCAATGACTAAAAGCAAAGCATCAGTGGATATCCCTCAGAGCTTGCATGGGATATCCTTGAGGTATCTGGTTGAAGACAGTTTTGTCCACTCACAGCACTGCTTTGTCCCCCTTCCAATACTCAGCACTTGCTTTAGCTGTGCACCAGCCTCTTCATGCCTCTTTCTCAGTTTCTTCATCTGCAAAATGGCTATCTTGAGGTCTAATTATACAAATGGCCTGTCTGCTGATCTCAGAGAACATGATCAAGACCAGTATTTGAAGAGATCTTTCAGGATGGGCTCAGCCTGCAGGCACACAATGGTAAGTACTGTTTCTACCGTGGGCAAAAACAAAAACCTGACTCAGGACAATTAATCACTGCTGACTGACTATTTTCGCTAAAAAGTTACCTCGCAAATGGTAGGGTTTGATTCCTCTAATAATTTTCAGTTTGAAAAAATAAAATAAAAAAAAAAAATAAACAAAATCCAATCCAGACATATCTTTTCTATTTAGGATGATGTCCACAAATTTCAGCAAAGCTTTTAAGCTAAATGGAATTTGTTTGCTGTCATTTAACTATGTCTTAAGGGAAAGTATCTCCTCCACTTTCTCGACAGTCCAACTAGTGGTACCACAATTTTCTGCCAAGGTGTTCACCCCGTTGTGAATTGAGATAGTCAGTTACACCCTGGACACCAAGAAAGTGCACGGGAAATGCACCATGCCTAGACATGTAACCTTGTGAGTAGCGCTACAGGTACCCACCTTCCTGTGCATCCTCCTCATCTGAGCTGGGTGCACTGCAAAGGCACCTCCAGCCAGGRGCCCCCAGTGGGGTCCCCAGCAACATCCCACCACCAGCAAGAATTCCTGTGGAGAGGATGTCACTGCCTCCTGCTCCTCCCTCCCTTGAGAAATCAACTGCGTAACTACACGGCAGAGTGGGTAGATACCAGTGCAAGGTGGTATCTTTCCAGCCATAAACAAGCACCCATGTAAAGCTTTTACCTCAGCTTTCCATTTGCCATATGCTCACCCCAAAACGGTTTACAGCAAGGAGGGTCCTGACTAGCCCAGTTTTACAAGGTGCCAGTGAGAAGCAACTTGCCTGAGCTGCTCTTAATCRAGCTTTGGCAGGACAGGACGCATCTGCAGCCCAGTACCACCCAGCTCCCTCTCCTCTGCTGAGAATCACTCCCATTGCCTTTCTAGGCACAGCTCACTATTTAGCACAAAAGGCAGAGAGAGAGAGAAACCACTGCCCTTCTCCATATCTCTCAGAAGTGTATCTGCCAGAAGCATGGCTGCCTCACATCTCAAGTAATGTGAGATGCTGAAAGGTGTATTCTTTCCACGGGAACTACAGGGAACATAGGGATGTTAGGCTTCAGGAGATAAGAGGGGGTAAGAAGCTGAATAATGCTTGCTCTGAAAATTGAATTGCTCCTGCTTCCCTTGCGTGTTGAAATTTGTGTGACCTTGTCTTGGCAGTAAGTACCAACCAGGGGGTAAATCTGTCTCAAAATCCTGGCCACATGGTAATATTATTGTCAGTGCACTTTGCCAAAAACGTGCTACAAACTCTCAGGCCTGTTTCTGAAGGGGAAAGAAAGAAAGCAACTCCTAACTCCTATGACTTCCCTTCCAAAGAAAAAATTAAATCAATTTACTGTACTTGAGCATAAAATTACAAGCTTGCACAATTTAGCTGCTTGCAATGGCTGGAAAAAGAAAAAAAAAAAAAAAAAAAGAAAAGAAAATCTATTTTTATACTCTCCTTTAAAATTGATACTGAAGAACACAAAGTAAGACCTACTTTAGGCATTTTACAGTCTTATTACACTGAATAATACAGATATACTAAGTGGCAACATTATAGGCTGATCATTTTCATAGATTTGTGAAGCATTGCATTATCTCTAATGACCTTTTTGCAGTGAAGAATGAGCTACTAATTACACATTGGAAGGCACTAGCTGCTATAGAGGTGAATTATTTAGTAAAACATATACAAGAATGTCAATAAGCTATTTTGAGCGATTATGGAAATTGGATCTGATTGTAAAGTACATAGGCAAAACAAGGACATCAACACTCTCCTCCAGACTTGGACATCTTTTCTTTCAGGGTTTTGGTCCAGGACAACAGTATGAACAAGTTAAAGAGCCTGTGTCATCTTTCTTAAGATACCCTGAGAGAAGCCTAGAGAGATCTCTACTGTACAGTTACTCAGCTTGTGCAGAGCAAAGATTTTGCCTCTTTAGCCTCATAGTGGAGGACTCTACCTGCTCAACTCTGTCAGGATGCAAATAGAGAGAAAATTTCTTCAGGACCACTGAAGTTTCTTCAGGACCAATAGGTACTCCATCAAATGTTTCTTATTTCATAGTCAAGAGGATGTAGCTTCAAAATCATAAAGCTTTGATGTCCTCATCAAAATCTACAGTGGGTTGTAAGTGTATTCAAGGCCAATTATCAGAGTGTGTGACAACCATAGCAGAACACTGAAAATATACAGTGCTGGAATGGCATTGGTCATTGATGAAGAGATTTTAAGCATAAATGTGTAAGCCTGTCAAAGCTCCACAAGTTCAGAAGTCTTCAGATGAAGCCAGAAATCACCAGCTACAAAGGTGGTCAAGGACATTTTAGTCCAAATAATAAGATAGAATGGATGAGCCTCCCTACAGTTTGTTAAGGAACATATTTTCACTACTACAAACTGGTGTATCACCAGTAATGTCAGTGGGAACTGATGGAATGAGGTAAATCTTTGGATCTCTAGTGACTAGTTATATTAATAATAT